GACCGGCAAGTGCAACTAGCGACTGGCAAGGTAACCCACTCCTTCCTCCATGTCCCAGACTGTCCATACCCATTGCTGGGTAGGGACTTATTAACTAAACTAAAGGCTCAGATACATTTTGATAAGACTGGGGTCAGCATCACTGACCCGTCGGGAAGGCCGTTGCATGTGCTCACCTTGTCCATAGAAGATGAGTATAGACTACATGAACGAAGCAAAAAGGCCCCAACCGATATGGAGGGATGGCTACTCAAGTACCCCCAAGCATGGGCAGAGACCGGGGGCATGGGTCTCGCCGATAGCCAGCCACCCATAATTGTGTCCCTGAAAGCGAACGCCATCCCAATCGCCGTAAAGCAGTACCCAATGTCCAAGGAAGCCAGAGAAGGCATAGCTCCTCACATCAATAGACTGTTGGATCAAGGGATCCTCGTACCCTGTAAGTCCCCCTGGAACACCCCTCTATTACCCGTCAGAAAACCAGGAACGGGGGACTACAGACCAGTCCAGGACCTCCGAGAGGTTAATAAACGGGTTGAAGATCTACACCCCACAGTGCCCAACCCCTACAACCTCCTTAGTGGGCTATCGCCTACCCACGTCTGGTATACGGTCCTGGACCTCAAGGATGCCTTCTTTTGCTTGAGGCTACACCCCAACAGCCAGTTGTTATTTGCCTTTGAATGGAGAGACCCAGCTCGGGGAATCTCCGGTCAGCTGACCTGGACAAGGCTACCCCAAGGGTTTAAAAACAGCCCCACTCTCTTTGACGAGGCACTACACCGGGATCTGGCCGTTTTTCGGGTCCAGCACCCCTCTCTGATTCTGCTCCAGTACGTAGATGATTTGCTGCTGGCGGCTACGTCAGAGGAAGACTGTCGCCGGGGCACCGAGACCCTACTCCAGGTCTTGGGGAGTCTGGGGTACCGGGCATCGGCCAAGAAAGCCCAGCTCTGTTTAAAACAAGTGACCTATCTGGGCTACAAAATAAGGGAAGGGCAGAGGTGGCTAACTGAGGCCAGAAAGCGAACCATTCTGAACATTCCCGCCCCAAGAACCCCCCGTCAATTACGGGAATTCCTGGGAACCGCAGGCTTCTGCCGCCTCTGGATCCCGGGTTTCGCTGAGTTGGCCGCTCCCCTCTATCCCCTCACGCGGACCGGCATCCCCTATAACTGGGGAACGGACCAGCAGCAGGCCTTTGAGAATATCAAACAGGCCCTCCTACACTCCCCGGCCCTGGGACTGCCCGACTTGCTGAAGCCCTTCGAGTTATACGTTGACGAAAGACAGGGCTACGCGAAGGGGGTGTTAACCCAGAAGCTGGGACCATGGAGGAGACCGGTGGCCTATTTATCCAAGAAACTGGACTCAGTGGCCGCAGGATGGCCACCCTGCCTCCGGATGGTAGCGGCGATAGCAATTCTGGTTAAAGATTCTGGCAAACTGACCATGGGTCAACCCCTTACCGTTCTGGCCCCGCATGCTGTTGAAGCAATCATCCGACAACCTCCGGACAGGTGGCTCACCAATGCGAGAATGACTCATTACCAAACCTTACTATTAGATACCGACCGAATCCGGTATGGGGCCCCGGTGGCCTTAAATCCAGCCACCCTCCTACCTCTCCCTGGCACCCCCGAACACCATGATTGTCAGCAGATCCTGGCCGAGGTACATGGCACTCGCCCAGACCTCTCAGACTTGCCCCTCCCCAACCCTGAACACGTCTGGTACACGGACGGGAGCAGCTTCATGGAACACGGAGAGCGGCGGGCCGGTGCGGCGGTGACCACGGAAGATCAGGTAATATGGTCCCAAGCTCTACCTGCAGGAACCTCCGCTCAGAAAGCGGAGCTCGTAGCTCTGACCCAGGCTCTAAGACTGGCGGAGGGAAGGAGATTGACGGTGTATACCGACAGCAGATATGCCTTCGCCACGGCCCACATCCATGGCGAAATATACAGAAGGAGAGGTTTACTTACTTCGGAGGGAAAAGAGATTAAAAATAAAAAAGAAATACTAGCCTTGCTACAGGCCATTCATCTGCCGCGAGCTCTCAGCATCATCCATTGCCCAGGGCACCAGAAAGGGGACACTCCAGTTGCAAGAGGCAACAGGATGGCTGACTGGGCGGCGAGGGCGGCCGCCACTGAGGAAAAACGGGTCGAAGTCCTATCGGTTGACTCTAGACCTCATCATGGTGACTCCCGATGGGAATACACGGAACAAGATGTCAAGGCTCTGCACTCCCTGGGAGCACGGGAAGATCTAAAAACTGGGAAATGGGTGTACCAAGGAAAGGTAGTGTTGCCCTACGAAATGGGCCGCCATTTGATCTCCTGGCTGCATCGCCTCACACATCTCAGCTACCAGAAAATGAAAAAGCTTCTGGAACGGGAAGAAGAGGTCTACTTCTTTCTACAGAAGAACGATCTTCTCAAAGAAATCACCGAACGTTGTGACGCCTGCGCCAGAGTGAATGCTTCTAAAATCAAGCTGCCTCCGGGTATAAGAACCAGAGGTCACAGGCCCGGCACTCACTGGGAAGTAGACTTTACTGAAATAAAACCGGGCAAGTATGGATATAAATATCTACTGGTTTTTGTAGATACCTTTTCAGGATGGCCGGAAGCATTCCCGACAAGGCACGAGACTGCCGCTGTGGTGGCCAAGAAGCTATTGGAAGAAATCTTCCCCGATACGGGATGCCCCAGGTAGTAGGGTCAGATAATGGTCCCGCCTTCATCTCCCAGGTAAGCAGAACAGTGGCCACCTTGTTGGGGATCGATTGGAAATTACATTGTGCATACAGACCCCAGAGCTCAGGACAGGTAGAGAGAATGAACAGAACAATTAAGGAGACCTTAACCAAATTAACGCTTGCAACTGGCACTAGAGACTGGGTCCTCCTGCTACCACTTGCCCTGTATCGGGCTAGGAACACGCCCGGACCACATGGGTTAACCCCATTTGAGATCCTGTTTGGGGCCCCGGTGCCCATTATTAATTTCTTAGGCCCCGATGTTTCTGACTATGCTAATACCCCTTCTCTACAAGCCCATCTACAGGCCCTCCAGCTGGTCCAGAAGGAGGTGTGGGAACCTCTAGCCCAGGCGTACCGGGACCAGAGAGACAATCCGGTCGTGCCTCATCCGTATCAGATCGGAGACGCTGTCTGGGTCAGACGCCATCAGACCAAAAACCTCGAACCTCGCTGGAAGGGACCATATTTGGTTCTGTTGACCACCCCTACCGCGGTAAAGGTTGACGGGATTGCCGCTTGGATCCACGCGAGCCACGTCAAGCCAGTCCGATCAGACGACCCTCAGCCGCAAGGAACATGGACAGCCCATCGCACCCAAAACCCTCTAAAGATAAGACTCTCCCGGGTTGTTTAATTGTTTTACTGTGCCTTGTGCGAGTAGAGGGGAGCCCTCACACCCCGCAGCTCTTAACTTGGCAGGTGTTCTCCCAGACGGGGGAGGTGGTCTGGTCTCTCTCAGGCTACCACGCGCCGGGTACCTGGTGGCCCACCCTCACTCCCGACTTCTGCCACCTGGCCGCCGGGCTGGAGACCTGGGATATCTCCACAGTCGGGGCTCATGAGATGACTCAAAATATACAGTCCCCCCGCCACCCCTAGGAAAGACCTGGCCACAAGGGTGCCGCAATCCTAGAGCTAGATGTCTCCTGGCACAAATGGACTTCTACGTCTGTCCTCAACAAAGACAGTCTCGAGCCTTAAGATGTGGGGGATACGAGAGTTATTTCTGTGCCAATTGGGGCTGTGAGACCACGGGGGATGCCTACTGGAAACCCAGATCATCCTGGGACCTGATTGAGATACACCGTAATTATTCACGGCCCCCTCTGGGCCGCTTTGATTGTGATCATGGCCCTGGTAGATGGGGCTCTTGGTCCTGTAAATCAGCTACCTGTCTCCCCCTCAACATTACCTTCACCCAAAAAGGCAAACAGGACTATACTCAGTGGTTAAAAGGAAAAACCTGGGGACTGAGATGGCACATGCCATGGGAAGATAGAGGCGTTATCCTCAGAATCCGTTTAACCTCCCAAACTAATTCGGCCCCTATCGGGCCAAACCCCGTGCTGGCGGACCAACGACATCCCTCCGACCCATCCGGCCCTAAGCCCGAACGCCTTCCCTCACCGAACGCCACCAATTCGCCCCCACCAGCACCACTGAGGCTGCCCAACCCGGCACGGGGGACCGGCTTATAGGCCTTATCCAAGGGGCCTACCTAGCCCTAAATGGGACTCAACCTGACAAGACTCAGGATTGCTGGCTCTGCTTAATGTCAAGCCCTCCCTACTATGAGGGCACTGCAGTGGTCGGGAACTACTCCAACCACACTTCCCCACCGCCTACGTGTACCGAGGGATCCTCACACCGATTGACCCTAACTGAAGTCTCAGGACAGGGTACATGTCTAGGGAAAATTCCTCCCTCTCATACCCTCCTCTGCAACTCTACCCAGACCTTGGGCCCAGGAGCATACTATTTGGCCGCCCCTAATGGCACTTACTGGGCGTGCAGCACAGGTCTGACTCCCTGTGTATCTACCGCCGTTATGAACATGTCCCGGGACTACTGTGTCCTAGTCCAGCTATGGCCGAGAATTACTTATCATACCTCAGAATATTTTGTCAGCCAGTTCGAAGAAAGATCCCAACTTCGAATTAGAAGGGAGCCAGTCACATTAACGCTGGCCCTCATATTGGGGGTTGGGGGAATAGCGGCCGGGATAGGCACTGGTGCTAAGGCTCTCTCAGAAACCACCCAGTACCACCAACTGCAGACAGCCATGCAGTCGGACATTAGAATCCTTGAGGAATCAGTAACGGCCCTTGAGAAGTCACTCAAGTCTCTGTCTGAGGTAGTCTTGCAGAATAGGAGAGGTCTGGACTTATTGTTCCTTAAGGAAGGGGGATTATGCGTAGCTCTAAAGGAAGAATGTTGCTTCTACACCGACCACACTGGAATCGTAAGAGACAACATGGCCAAGCTGAGGCAGAGATTAGATCGGAGGCAGAAATTCTTAGATGCCCAACAGGGTTGGTTTGAGGGCTGGTTCAATAGGTCACCCTGGTCTACTACCCTAATTTCTGCCATAACAGGGCCCATAATGGTCCTCATTCTCATTCTGATATTGGGGCCCTGCCTTCTTAACCGTTTAACCCAGTTCGTGAAAGATAGGTTCTCTGTCATACATGCAATGGTTTTAACACAACAGTATCAACAACTTAAACAGATGGATCCAGAGTTAACTAAAGCACTTGAATGAAGGATTCCATTCAGTCACAAGAGAAATGGGGGAATGAAAGACCCCCTCCCGACATAGCCCAACAGGAGCTGTCTGAGTTCACGCTAAGGTCGAGGGCCCCTGGCCCCTACCGACATAGCCCACCAGGAACTGTCTGAGTTCACGCTAAGGTCGAGGGCCCCTGGCGCCTCGAGGGCTTGACAAACAGGATATTAGTGGTCGGCCATCCAGAACTGGGGAGTTAACACCGGGGAGTTTCCCATCCACAATGTGCCCGAGATGAAAGCTAAGTCAACCTCCTGCGACTTCCTTGTATTCAAGCCAGGTGGCCCCAGTCTAAATCTCTCGCCCCATTAAATTTGACCAACGAAAATCCTGTGACCATGCATCCGCTTTTGTACCCACGCTTTTCGCTATATAAGGCACCCCCGTTCCCCATCTGGGCGCGCTTGGTTCCCGAGACCAAGACGCCCGGGTACCCGTATGTGTGATCAATAAAACCTCTTGCTGATTGCATCCATACGTGTGGCCTCGCTGGTCCTTGGGGGGGTCTCTCAGATTGAAAGTATCCCTAGTACGGGGGCCTTTCAGATCTCATCCAGCTATGAACCCTCTTTGAACTACAATAACAACCTTGCTACAAGACATACCCACTGGGCCAATGGTGGCGTGGGAGAATGAGGCCAAGAACTGGAGACTAGAAGGGAAAACTACTAGAATTATTCTGCTAAATCAGTGGTTCTCAACCTTCCCAATGCTGACACCCCTAAAATATAATTCCTCATGTTGTGGTGATTCCCCAACCATAACATTATTTTTACTGCTACTTCATAACTGTAATTTTGCTACTACTATTAATCATAATGTAAATATCTGTTATGCAGGATATCTGATATGGAACCCCCCTGTGAATGGGTCCTTTGACCTTGTATGTACACACACACACACACACACACACTTGTTTTGATTTCTTTCTTTTTTTAGAAAAGAGAAGAAAAGAGAAAGACTGTGAAATGAGGGTATGGGTTTCAATGGTGAGGGTGTAGGCACCATTGCCTACATTTCAATCTGAGAGGAGATTGGGGGAAGGGAAAGAATATGACTAAAATATATTGTATGAAAATTTACAAAGTAATTACAAAAATTAAAAACTCCTGTATAGGAAATAGGGTGCGCTGGATGCTATCAGCAATTGGCACTTGCTTGCAAAGGAAAAGTTAGCTTTCACCAAAGGAGTTCTCACTGGATATATTAATCACACTTAAAAGTAGGCCCCATGTCCAGCAGTAGATTTCCAACACAAAATAGTATTTTTGCAGCAGATTTTTTTTTATCTCATATTGCTTTTGTTTGAACTTTTTTCTTTTTTGTTTTCTCTTTTTTGTCTTATCTCTTGCTTGTATATTATGGTTTTCAACTTTGTGTTTTTGGTGGAGGGTGGGTTGTGTTTCTGTTTCTTGTGTTTTTTCTTTTTCTTTTGTTGTTGTTTGTTTGCCTGTTTGTTATCTAAAGAGGGGAAGGGTGTAGAGTTGGGTGAGTGGGGAGGATGGGGAGGAGTTGCAGAAGGGGAATCCATGGTCAGAATATGTATGAAATGTTCAATAAACACCTGTTTTCATGAATTTTTACTAAACACTTAATTTGCAGTGCAGAGTAGCCTAGAACTGCAGCCATGTGACAAAACACAAAACAAACAAAAAAGAAAAGAAAGAAAACAAAAGGAAAAGGAAAAGAAAACAGCCCCAAACAAAGGTTTGTTGACTGTTTTGAGAGTCATGAGGGAATGTTGTGGGGTCTGGGAATGCATATAGAAGCATATAGAAGCTTCCTTGGAGGGAGTAACTGACCCAACACCCGCAGTGAAAAGGTAGAGAGGAGCAAGTACTCCTTGTGGTCTGAGCTGGGAGACTTCCTGGAGAGAGCCTGCAGAGATGGAACAGCCTGAGGCCTTCAGTCTGACTCTAAGCTCTTTATGTAGTGTAACTTTCTCAACTTCCCTGAATCCCAGTGGCCTCCCTTACCTAACAAGAAGAATGACAATATCTGGCTGAGGTTGGGTAGCCTTGTCTTTCAGGAAATTGCTTCCATTCTGACACCTCTTCCTGGTACTGTTGACTCTGAGCCAGGGCTTCAATGCCTCCCTCTGAGTTCCTGTTTGCTCTCTCCTTGGTTACCCTCTTAAGATGGTCTCTCTCTGGGCTCCAGCACCATCTCCTACATTTCAATCTCCTGCTGCTTATTTCCACTTAGACATGCTGCGGACACATTTTATATTTAACCAGCAGAAAGCCAAAGTGTTTATTTCTTTCCTCAATTGCCTCCTGGTTTTGGAATAAGGGTCTTTTTAAAGCGATTCCTTCACATAACACATGCTCAGATTTCAGAGTCACCTTTAAGATTGGTTAACATCTGTTCAGTTGCCAAATTCTGTGGACTCCTCCTTCAAAATGCCTTTGGTCTGAGCAAGAAGGGAAACCTAAGGCTTTATAATAATTATGTGAGGTTTTCTTTTTTAAGAGTAACAGGTCTATGCACAACTTCCAAATTAGCCAGTGCTTCCTGGTTTAAAAAACTCCATAGTCTGCTACCACTTGTGGGCATCATGCTGAAAGACCCCCAGAGTGGGGAGACCCTCACTCAAGTCTTGGGATAAGCCGATGCTCTCAATGCCACACACGGCTCCTCAAATCTCTTTCTAGCCCATCTCTCAATCCAAGGAGGCATCTGGCCCTTTGTTGACCCCTTGCTCACACCCTTCTTCCTTCTTTCAGATCCTTTGCCCCATCACTCCCACTTGCTAGTCCTGTTTGGTAGAATCGCGGTCTTCAGTCTGCTCTCTTCACTTCCCTTCCTGAACTCCAGAGCACTTACTTTGCTGTTGCATACTCAGAGAATTTATCACATGAACAGATTTGGGATTCTTGAAAGGAAATATTAATGACAAATGTTTAAAACAGCAAGCTAGGCTTTTCCACCCGGGCAAGAGCTATGCTTTCTCATTCCTCCAAAATCATACTTAGTTTTATGTATCTTTATGTTTCCTGACCTAATTACACAAATGTGTCATTTGGGAATTGGAGATCTCTACAGGGATTATAAATTGTTCCCAGACATTTTGAAATCAATGTGGAATGAGACGCTGGAAGACACATGGCTACCTTTCACAGTGTAGAATAAAAGCAAGAAATTAGTGTTCACACCAGAAGGCCCTCGGTCTCAAAGCTTCTCTTTGAATACCTAACTCACTGTGCTCTAATGCAGAACAAATCTTTGATGATTGTCCATTGCAGAGAATGTCCTGGGGAGATAGCTTAGTTGGTAGAATGGTTGCCATATGAGTATGAGGAGCTGAGTTCAATCTCCAGGACCTATGTAAAAATGCCAGTTGTACTAGTGCATGTCTATAATCCCAGCATCAGGGAGGCAGAGACAGGTGTGTCTCTGGGGTTCACTGGCCAGTGAGCCTGCCCCAGTCAATGATCCCCAGGTTCTAGCGAGAGACCCAATTTCAAAGGAGGTAGACAGGTGCTCCTGAGGATGACACCTGAGGTTGTCCTCTGTCACCCACCTCCCACAGAGACGCGTGAGTACACAAACACAAGTGTGCATGAACATAGAAAAACGTCTAAGTTTAAGAATCAAGTCAGATTTGAATTCTAATCTGGTCATTTCTTAATGTACAGATTTTGGTAGAAATAACTATTGTGTTCCCTCATCTGTGAAATACTGATAGCTTTTCCACTTTCTGAAGCTGTGCTGGTAAAATGGTACATGTATAAAGCAAATGGAATACAGCAAGCCTGGGCCAGCATTTAAAACAAGAGACTCTCACTAAGCTATAACTTCGAAGCTTTTGTTCTTTTCGTAGTAGTAGTGTTTTCATTTTAATGCATGTCTATTCTTTTTAAATTAAGTGAATCATGCGATATTTCTAATTCTTCCCCTCCAGAGTGTTGTGATTATTTGGGTGGTGACAAGCATTACTTAAGCCCCCCCCCATTATTTCTTCTACTTGTTTCTTTGGAAAGAACTTATTTCCAGAGAACAAAGCCGCTAAGCTGGGTGATAGACAGTTTTTGACACTTTGCTGAGCCCATTGTTCTGTTTAGATAAAAAACCTATGGTGTTCATGTAACACACATTTAGAAGACTCTTTCAAGGATCTCTGGCAGCTCCCAATCGGGACACATTTAGAGAACTCTTTCAAATGTTTCTCACAGCTCCCCTATCTGGTTTTGACTCAAGCTGCCTATGGCATGACAGGAAAAAGTGTGGAATGAAGTCACAGAAAGCCCCCAGGGAATAAGTGAAGGCCCAGCTGAGACCACATCTCAGTTTCTACTGACGCCTTACACACTTGCCTCTTAAGGAAGCGATAGTACAGTTTTTACCATCGACTATGTGAAACACACTCGATGGTTTTAAAACATTCTACCTTTATGAGACTTTTAAACTCTAGGATGTTTTTGGTTTTGATAAACGGTCCTAATATACAGGCCATGCTAACTTGGAACTTTGAAGCCTCAGGCTAGCCTTGAGCCCAAAAATTCTGGCTCAACCTTTCAAATTACAGGCCTGAGTCACTAGAGTATGATGGAACATGATAGAATGTTTAAATACCGTTAGATTCCAATGAATGCCTATAGGAGACCTTTCCCTATAATCTCTGCAGTGGGCAACACGGTGTTTGGCTAAGTAAGTAAGCACCAATCAGAGGAAACACTTGTTGAAAACAAGATTCCTCTTTGAAAGCTCATACTAACATATACTGAACCTCAATAAAACTTTAGGAAAGATTATCAGTGTAGAGTGTTACAAACACTCCTATAGTGGTCCCACCATCAAAGTCAGAATTTCAGGTGAGGGATTTCACCAGCCAGGTAAAGCAGCTATGGGAATAGGCAGTTCAGGCTAGGACTCTGCTAACCAGACCCAGACATCCAATTAGAGGGAAACACATAAGGACCCACAACCCCTCACCCCTTTCTCATCAGAAGACACCCTGAGGTACAAGGCTGGTCTGATGGTATCACATGGATCTGTTGCCTCACAAACCGGGTTGCACAATGACACACCTTAAATAATAACCCTACTAGGGCTATCCTCAAAGATGTTCAGCTTGTCCCGGGCACAGCTTCAGCCTCTGGAATTTTTTTTAATATTCTCAGGTGATTCCAATGTATGGATCACTTTTTATATTATTGGCTAATCTTCACGGCACAAAACAAATCTTTGTTTTAAGGTCTACTACTTATTTCTGAATTTCATTTTATAGCAGGAATAAATCCTGGAGTAGAATTCAAGGGGGGCTTCTTGGTACATAACCAGAACCAGGACTAAGAAAGCGACTCCTCACCCAGACAAGATCTGAAAAATGACCAGTCAAGCTCCCTTGAGCTCTGTGTGTTGTTTGAGAGAACTCTGGAAGGGTGGTTTCCAGCTCCCTCTTAGCCTAGGCTTGTTTTCTTGGATCAACTCCTACTTTCCATTTTGACACCGTGGAGAGACCTAGAAGACAACATACTTAGCCACTGGCTCCCACCCTTCATCTGGCATCTTCCAGCTGGAGCTACAAAGGTCCTGGGTGTGCCCTGTTTCTCAGCTCCCACTGGTCCAGGAATTCCACCGCGCCTACCCCTGGCTTTGCCAGCACTCAGCAGACCCGACTTTGGGAGTTCCGGTGGCTTCGCTATAGCTGAGTGCTGACACACCCAGTCCAAGGGAGCGAAGCCAATACTTTGGAGGAGGTATGAAGTTCCCTTTCAGATGCTAACTCACTGCATGCAGGTCCACCCTGGGGCTGGGTCCCTAGGGTGACGCTGATGTCCCCAGCCCGCCCACGCCGCGGAGGGAACGCCCTTTGCACGCGGGGCGCCCCACCCAGGGTGACGAGGGCCCGCCCCGCCCAGCCTCGCTGTAGCGGCGCTCAATTAACCGCGGCGTGAAACAACTCCAGCCACAGCCGGACACTCTCTTCTACCTGGGCCATGGGCTGCGCGTGCGCGTCGGGGACTCGGCCGCCACCAACGCCACTGCAGCTGCTGTGGCTGCTGCCACTGCTGCTGCTGTCCCCGACCGTGCTGGGTGAGTGACTCGGCATTGGGCACTAGCTGTGGTGACTGAGCCGCGGCCGGCCAGGCGCGCGCATGCTCATCGGGGACCCTGGCTGGCAGGTGTCGGTCGGTGTGCGGGGGTCTGTGGGTTGGGAGTGGAGGGGATGGATGTGGATTTCTGGACTGTCTGGGCTGTGACTAGATCTCGCCACCGGAGACCGTGGAAAACCCAAAAGGGAGGGCTAAATGCGAATTTCTAACCCTGCTCCTGGTTCTTTTATTCTTAAGGTGGAGGCCAGATGGCTGACCACCTGCGCCGGTGAGAGTGCGGTCCGGTGCCACAGGTTTGGGTGTCTTAACTCTCGCCTAGCCGAGGTATTCGTGTGGATATTGAGAACATTCTTAACTTCTTCACTCTCCGCTTAATGTTGTATTGTGTCGATGAGAGTATAGGCGTTGCAAGTTCTTGTTGGGAAGGTCGAGCATGGAAGGAAGTAAAATGCCATTGCTGCTTCCCATAATCCAGGATTGGGGAAAAAATGTGACCTCCAGTTTACGAGAGGTGTCTGCTCCACTCTGCTCTTATCTTCCTAGGTAACTGCGGCCCACCTCCAGAAATACCCAATGCCACGCCAGAGTTGGATAGAAACACCAATTTTCCCGAGAATAGCTTTGTGGAATATTCATGTAATAAAGGCTTTCAAAAAATTCCAGACAAGGAAAACACAGTTGTCTGTCTTAAAAATGGTCAATGGTCTAGCTTCGAAACATTCTGTAATAGTAAGTTCTTCATTTCTTTTTAGAAATGTTATGGGACTGTGTATCTTGTTGAGGTTATTTTTACACCTCTTTGGAGTGACTGGTAATTGATAGTTTTCTAGCATTATTAACCCCCAGAGTATACATGCTGGCAGTTCACACTCCAGCTAATTGAAGGCAGTACTTCCTATAGCAGGTCCTGCTTCTTCATTAAGAGTTTTTCTTTCTATTGTACAGGCTAAAGGAGAAAATAAAGGATAGGTTCTGTTTAGGGAGTAAATTATATGTGAATATATTTGGCAAGTACCTTGAGACACACACCCAGGTGATATGCCTTCTTCAACTTTATTTTGTTAAGTAACGAATACAACTCTTGGGAGACATTTTACCATCTTACTTCAAAGAAAATATGTTATGTTAGTTTTAAGACACAGTTTTTAGGTGATTCTGGCATATCTGAACACAATACAGGGATTCAGAACTAGAGGGTATGTTTGGTCACCTGGGTTCTGTAGTGTAGCTTATTGCTGGTTCTTTGACTATAAACCTATATAGCATGTCACTCTACTAAATATTGTTGGAGTTATAGTACATTAGTCAGGGAGAGGGAGAGATGCCTTCAGGGCTTAAGGTATTACTGTCTGCTACATAGGCTTTGCATATACTGTACACTGAGGCTGTGGCAATTTTCTTTAAGAGAATAATACAGAGAAACCCTGTCTCGAAAAACCAAAAAAAAAAAAAAAAGAATAATAAACTAGCATTAATTTACTTTTTGTCTGCCTGGTTGGCTTCAACTCATGGACTCAAAAAAGCCCCCAGCCTCAGTCTCTCAAGTATCTGGAATAGTAACCTATGATACCTGGCTTTTTTCCCCCTTCATCTTTTTACACTCTAAAATAACAATAAAATAAAAATTATAGTATGATAAATACATGAATTAGCAACCTACCCACTTATTACCAAACATTATCTACTCTATGTGATTATATGTGCTATAGCCTCATGATTTTCATGGACTGTGGTTGCTATTCCCAGCACCAGTGCAAACATGTTAGTAAGAAATTACATTAGGAGATGGCTTCAGTGTTGCTAGGCAACAGGAATAGCTCTGCTCCATTACATACCTGCAGGAACCACATTTGTGTATGTGGCCCATCATGGATCAAAGTATCATTATATGGTGGGTGACTGACTATAGAAAGTAAAGATAAAAATAAGATTTGATTTCTGCCTTTGAATGACCTGAGTTGGGGGCAGCTACAGTAAATCCAGAATCCTTCAAAACTGACTTTTGAAACCACAAGTGAAACGGGCTTTACATTTGTATTTTCAACTCCCATTGAAGGCAAGAAACCCTTCAGCCTTTACCACATGATTTAGAGTTTGTAACTCGCCCTCAGCATTGCTTCATCTAGTCCTTCCAGCAACCCATGAATTATGTAAGTGGGGACTCTTCTCAGTTGCAAAGTTGAAGAAATCTTTTACCAGAAGGTAAATAATATGTACAAGACCAGTAGTTCTTATGCCAAGAAGCCCAGTGTCAAGCTTGCACCTCTGGACTACTGAGCCACCATTTCTTACTTACTCTGCTTCTTGCCTGGCTGGAGCTCATTGTCCCAGCCGTTTATACTTGGCGCACACTATGTACACAGCTGCTTCATCTGACCCTTGTTACCAGGGGCTGTTGTAAGATGAAATGAGTGTGTGTAAACATTTAGAAGTATTTAACAAATACAAGATATTATTATTCCTATTATTATCGACATATATATGTGGAAACTTAGATACCTAGTAACCGAAAAATGAAGATGTATATGTGAATACCCTTGATATACTATAAGCACCAGGGTGATATTTATTTAAAAATGAATATATAAAGATGTAAGGGTCCCTATCAAAAAATAAGTAAAATAGTTGAATGAAAAGGGGTGGTTTAACTACCAGATATTATAAGATGTCAACTTATTTTATAACCTGTGTTTTTCTGTCACTTTGATAATTCTTTTAGAAAGCTGTGATGCTCCATCAAGGGTATCTTTTGCATCCCTCAAAAAGGAATATATCAACTTGAATTATTTCCCGATTGGTAGCACTGTGGAATATGAGTGTCGGCCAGGGTTTCAAAGATACCCTTCAGCATCAGGCAAATCAACTTGCCTTGAGAATTTAGAATGGTCCAAAGTTGCTGAAATGTGTAGAAGTGAGTATGATTTGTATAAGTAATCCCAATAATCTCCAATAATCTGTATTTGTGGAACTATCTCTTCCATTCATGCTGGAAATATATATGTGTGTATATACATATACATATATGTGCTGGAAATATACACATATATGAGATATATATATATATGTAAAGAATGATTTTCCAAATAATCGTGTTTTTTGTTTGTTTGTTTGTTTTTGATTTTTTTTTGAGACAGGGTTTCTCTGTGGCTTTGGAGGCTGTCCTGGAACTCACTTTGTAGACCAGGCTGGCCTCGAACTCACAGAGATCCGCCTGCCTCTGCCTCCCGAGTGCTGGGATTAAAGGCATGCGCCACCAATGCCCGGCCTGTTTTTGATGTTTTAAGACAAGGTTTCTCTGTGTAATCTTGGCTGTCCTGGAACTGACTCTGTTGACCAGGCTCGCCTTGAACTCAGATCCATTTGCCTTTGCCTCCCAAGTGCTGGGATTAAAGGTGTGCACCACTACTGCCTGGCCCAGTGTTATTTTTTAATTAGACAAATGTTTACATAATAGGAATACTTACAGATGTCATGTTTACTTAATTTAAAGTTACCTAAAATGATGACATACTCTATGTTGCTTTTTTGAAGCAACAAAACATGAATGTAAAATTTTAAAAAATGCAAGGGTTAGAAATATCAATGGCTTAGAGAATAAATTTGTGTGTATGTGTCTCATATTTACTTTTTTTCCTGCTTTCCTGAGATATAATTAATAAGTAAAAAATCATGTAAATTCAAGGTACACATTATTTCATAATGAATGTCTATTATTTGTGTGTGTATGCTTTTCATGCATGCATGTATGTGCTAATGAGTATACATGTACATGATGTGTGTGTGTGTGTGTGTATGTGAGAGAGAGAGAGAGAGAGAGAGAGAGAGAGAGAGAGAGAGAGAGAGAGAGAGAACAGCCCTAGGTATAAGTCCTTAGATGTTTTGGCCTGGAACTTCACCTCATAGAACATACTAACTGTCCTCTCCCTTTCTCCCTGTTAGCTTCCAGGGTTCTGTCTTCCATATTGCCACCACTGGGAATATAGGTGTGTGCCACTGTGTGCAGTTGTTTACATGGGTTCTGGTGATCCAAACTCTGGTTCTCACACCTACAATAAGAAAGCACTTTATTTTCCCAGGTCCTTAATATTCTTGTGTGTTTATGTTTGTCTGTCTCTTTCTGTCTCTGTCTCTGTCTCTGTCTCTGTCTCTCTCCTCCCCCTTCTGTCTCTCTGTCTCCCTGTGTGTGTGTACAGGGAGTGTGTGTGTATGTGCAGAGAGTGTGTGTGTGTGTATGTACTTGTATACCAAAGGACAACTGTGGGTGCCATTCTTCAGGCACTGTTCACCTTATATTTAGACAGGATCTCTCATTGATCTGGGGCTTTCCAAGGAGGCTAGACTGTCTGGCTAGTGAACCCCAGGGCTCTGCATGTCTCTGCCTGCCTAGCTCTGGGATAATAAGTGCTTGATACCATGGTCAACTTTTTGTGTGTGTCCTGGGGAACAAAGTCAGGTCCTGGCCCTTATATGAAAAGCATGTTACCAGTCTCTGCCATTTAAATTTCATTTCTTAAGTTAAAATAAAATAAATGTGTTTCATTGTGGTATTTTCATACTTCATATAATTTTACTTTAGACTTATTCACTCCCTGTTTCTGCTGTCCTACTCGTCACCTTCCTGCTAATCCCTGACCCCAGGTCATCTTCCATGTAGCCCTTTATTTCTCCTCATTTCCGTTTCCTTTCAGACTCTTTTCCCCCATTCTTTTTCAACATTGTGTGTGATATATAATTACCATTACCATCTTAACCCATTAACATAATTCAGTCAGCACATTTAGGGTTGTGTCTGGTAATTGAATGAAAAAAATTGATATTTTTTTTATTTTAAAGAAAAATCATGTCCTAATCCTGGAGAAATAAGAAATGGCCATATCAACATAACAACTGACATATTATTTGGTTCAGAAATATTTTTCTCATGTGACACAGGGTAAGTTGCATGATACTAAGATTCTATATTTAGTTAGTGACAAAACAGATTAGGGGTTCAGTGGACATTGATAGATTTGTGACCTGTGCGTTCTCTGGTTGGTAGCAAAATAATCCCTCATAATGAGAGTGGGGTGAATATGAACAATGCATGTGATATACATATATGTACACGTCAGAGTGAAAGCTATTGAAAAAAGTTAAAGAACACAATACCTCTCCCCAAATAACCTTTTCCATGTGCTTATTGTAGTTAAACTCAGTAACGTAGGCCAGGAAAAGATGATTTTTATACTTCTAAGTCTCTAGGTTATTAGATTCCAATACATATATAATTCCAAATATGATTAGTGAAGAAACAATGGAAATATGTTGATGATACAAAAATAATCCTTAAGGTGTTAAAAATCAAGCCAATTTTAAACTGACTCAAATATTAATTTGCATCTGGGTTTTTTTTTTATACGCAGACAAACTGTTAGGTCATGGGCTAAAAAGTGCTTAGTGTGAAAATGCCCTCCTAATAGAAGTTCCCTAAGGCTTTTTTAGTTCTTCATGTAGTTCTAGGAAGTTCTTTAGTCAAGTGCCATCGGCATCTCAGACAGTGGGAAACTTCTGTTCATTTTCTTTCTTTTTATTTCCAAGTTAGGTTGCCACCCTCCCTCCTCACCTTATAAGAGAGAAATAGGCGACACTCGGTGGATTCAGAGGCTTTGTGACAAGCGAGCATGGAATTGGGAAAGAAGAGGGTATAGAGGGTTAGAGGAGGGGTTGGAAAAGGGAGGACTCTGGGTTGGAGTTGATCAAAACACCTTACAGGCAGGCATAAAGTTCTCAAAAAAGTTCTTTAAAACTACATGAAACAAAATGCGTTTCAAATGTTAGAACAGAAAAATAAATAGTAGTGCTTTGCCACCACCTTTATTAAGCAGAGATTCAATTGGATCAAGAGCTTATATTAGTGTAAACCGTTGGCCATGATACCCCGAGAACCCATTGCATATAAATGCACCCTGTTATTCATGAAGCCTGTTCTCTTAGAACTCAGAATAAAGGATTTCATCAACATAATTTTAGAACACTTTATGTATTTTCTACACAGTCAGCTAATGAAGCATTTTACATGTCTGGAAGTCTTGCCTGTTCAGTATCATTTCTGTGAACGAAATGGTTTTCTTTTAAATTTCAATAGATATGGTTATCAACTGTCATTTTGCTTCTGTCTTCTGGTATAGTCAGTCTTTTAAGTGATGTTATAGAGAACAAGAAAGACCAGACTTAAGTATCTGAATATAGCAGCCTTCTCTTCTCCTTTAGGTACAAGCTAATTGGTTCATCCTCTGCCTACTGTTATCTTACGGGAAATACTGTTGGCTGGAGCGACCCACTTCCAGTATGCACAGGTATGTCTCCTTTTAAGAAAAAAAACATAGGTCCTCACATTGTGGCGCCAAAGGATCAATGAAATCAATTATTTCTCATTTAAGTAGTAGCCACAGTCTATATTTGTGGTACCCCAACTTTTCAGTGTCTCTACTAATGACAGATTTCTTAATTTATCAGCTATGGGAGGACTCTTAAAGCTGATTCTTAGTGATAGTATCCTTAATTATAGGATATTTTAATTGAGAATTAAGAATTGACTTTGATTTACATTATATTTGGTCGTTTACCATCTAACCATTCCTTCTAGTAATCAGAGAACCCCGAGATCTCCCAGTTTCAGGGATAGAAATACCCCTCAGAGTCTCCATAGTCTCCATATATGTCAGGGAAGGCATTTAATATAGGTCTTTTTACTGCAAACGTGTTCTTTCTCAAAGACCTAGTGTTGCCTCCCTGCCTCTTTTTAGAGTATGTTACCAGCTGAGATAATTACCTAGAAGGTTTTAAAGTTTTTATGATGTTTTTATCATTTGAGGAATAAGGTCATATGATAAAGAAACCATTCCTACTCTTAAGAATCTCAACTTCTCAAAGAGAAAATACAACATAGAAATAATATCATAAATGAATATATCCAGTCACATTTAGCTCCATTAGAGACATGGCTCCCTTTAAAAATGGAAAGAAGTAAAACACATGCAGTTTATTTATTTGTTTGAGGGATAGGCATTGATTTCTAGTTCTCATGTATGCTAAGGCCACTATGTTGCACTAAGCCCCAAATATTTTTAAATGTAGACTTTATTCCTTCTATCTTTCATTCTTTTGATGCATAACTTACAACTTCCTCAAATGGCTTCTAGAAACCCTAATGTCAAAACTAATGCTAAGTTGTATGTGTGTGTGTGTGTGTGTGTGTGTGTGTGTGTGTGTGTGTGTGTGTGTGTGCATACATTACTAGGAGGAGGAAAGTTGAAGCCATTCCTTTGTGGCTGACATTCTGATAGTCAATGGGTGCAATCAGTTGATAGGAAGCAACTAATAAGAAGCCTGCTAACAAGGAACCCACTCCTGTTACACCACCATGGGCCCACCCTGCTAAACCCACCATTTCTGTTTTCTTCTTAGGCCTATTTAAATGTTTTTTTCATTTCTACTCACTGCCACCATTCTGTTTCCACTCCTAGTAAAGGATCTTGTAAGGACACTATGGCTGAAGAAAGGAGCTGGAATTCATAGCTTGTGAGCCCAGGCAACCTGTCCTAAAGCCTGGGTGGGCGGTTTCCCAGTCTGAAACCAGTGTTTTCAGTAGACGCTGCCTTTAGGTTCACAGAAGTGGCCATCAGGAATGTATCCTAGTATAGAAGTGTTTGAAGAAAGCCCACTTCCTGTTTGTGTTGCACCTAAGCAACAGTCTGTTTTCCTTTTGCTCTTTATGGTGAACACCCTTGTTTTCTTGGCTGGCAGCCGCGGCTCCATCAGCAGCTGCTGATAGCCTCATTCTCTAGGGAAGTCCCTTGTACCTGAGAAATCCGGTATTACCACCTATTCCTGTAAATCCCAACTGTGAGAATCTATTTTTGATTTTTCACATTAACGTACTTTTTTTTGGTTTTGTTTTGACATCACCAAAACAAAAAATAGAAAGTGAATTCTGTGGGTGTCAGTTAGAAGGCCTAGGCAATCTATGGGGCCTTGAGTAGTATTTATCCCTGGTGTACAAATAGACTTTGAGTGCCCATCCCACAATGAGGGATACTCTGGACTCTTGTGAGAGGACCTAGACCTTGCCCTGGATGAAATAACAGACACTGGAGATCCCCTATGGAGGGCCTCACCCTCCCTGGGGATCAGAGCCAGAGCAGAGATTGGGTGGGGGGCCTGGTGGGGAGGGAAAGGGAGGAGGGAAGAGAAAGGGAGCTGGGATTGACATGTGAAACAAGCTTGTTTCTAACTTAAATTTTTAAAAAAGGGAAAAAAAAGAGGAAGAAAATGAATTCTTCCCCCAACATAATATTTTTACTAATTATTTGGGAGTTTCATACAATGAACCCTGATCACACTTCCTATTCCTCCAAGGTCCACCCTCTCACCCTTGCAGTCTCCCCCAACCCCCCAAAACCCAACAATACCAAGTTAGTGTTGTCCATAAACTTGCTGGAGCACGGTCAAACTCCCAGTGGCCAGCCCCTTAAAGAAGACTGACCCTTTGAAGTGTGGCTCTTCACAGTTGATGGGAGGTGAATTGGTAGATGGTGAGCTGTGTACAGCCTTGGTAACACAGATGAGTGATGGTGTCCTGGTTTCCGGTGTGGTACTGATCACAGAGGAAAATGGCGGAGGAGTGATGGGCATCCACACAGGGGGCGTCTTGACCCTGAACGAAGCCTCTCTCAGGAGAAACCGCTCTTTTTCTATCTCGCTGTTGTTGCTTTATTTAGTTATATATTTTTTAATTACTTTCAGTTGACTGATAGTACCTGCTTCGTCTAGTCAATGATTGTCTGCCATGACTGTCTTCCCAGACCTCTCTCTCTTTGTATTAGCTTTTCTAAGTTTTTTATTTCTTTACTGCTTCCACATACTTTTTAGACCCGTGTCTTACTTCCTTCTGTGTTACTTGTGATATAGTTTGTTTTTCTCCATATGGACGCTTGCACTCAGGGTTACCCCTAACGTTTTTAAAGCCAAGGTTTGAATATAAAAAATAGTCCTTGGCCTCAAGCTACTCTCCCCTTTCCTATACTACTGTGAGGATCCTTTGGTACACATAAGAATTCAGCAAATCCTATGTATTCGAGCCATGTCTGCTGTGACAATGCCGATTTCATTGTCCTTTGGATTAGAAGTGAGTATACTACCAACAGATATGGGCTTGCAGGAAGAGGAACTGACACAGGGAATTCTTGATGTTTGAGTGTGGCCTATAATGGAGGGAGGGGTGGTAGGACAGGCTGTCCCTGAACATTTCCACTCTGCCTAATACCTACCACTTCAATTGGTACAAGAAACCCACAGTAGGGCAGTGCACACCCTTAAAACATGGGGTCTATGTTAGGACCTCAATGGAATTCCAGGGTGATAGAAGATGATTTCTCCTTGTACCTCATTATTGTTTCATTCTGCCCAAGGTGATAACTTCAGAAATGCAGATGCACCCCGTCTTTTCCTTCTTCAAGCTTTCCAGTAGTATGTCTGAACACTTACAGGTCTATGCTCCTAGTAGAGTTCAAGGCTAACTGTCTCCCTGCTTTTCTGCACTTCGGTTTTACCTTCTTATTTACTGCCCTACAAATGCAAATTGCCTGCGTGTTGCTTTACTCTTTATCAAGAGTTTATTTGTTTAAGATTTTGTCAAGTCAGGCTCTACCTGTAGCACCAGCTGGGCTCACACGTTTGACAATAGTCATCTTGTCCCAGCCTCTTAGGTTCTGAGACTATAGTCATGAGCCACCAGGCCTAGGTATCTCATGATCTTCCTTCCACTCCCTGCCGGGTATATTTGTACGTATATAGTTACATATGCACATATGTGATATTCACATGTGCACACATGCACGTATGGTAAGAGGACAACCTCAGGTGCTACTTAGCAGGAATTGATAATCTTGGATTTTTTGAGACCGTGTCTAACTGACCTGGGGTTGTTTGATTTGAGTAACCTAGCCATCAGTCAGTTCCAGGGAGCTGCCTGTCTCTACCTCCCCAGCCCCCCCAGGTGCACACCGCTAAGCCCAGTTTTTTATGTGTGCTTTGGGATATGCTTATAAAATACCTCTGACTGAGCTATCACCCAGCTCTGACCTCATGATTTTTGATACCTCCCCATCAAGAGTCACTTCCCAGCCAGGCGGTGGTGGCGCACGCCTTTAAGCCCAGCACTCGGGAGGCAGAGGCAGGTGGATCTCTTGTGAGTTCGAGGCCGGGCTGGACCAACAGCCTCCAAAATAATACAGAGAAACCCTGTCTCGTAAAACCAAAAAAAAAAAAAAAAAAAAAAAGAGTCACTTCCTTTAGTTCTTTGGGAGGACTTCCTGTGCTGGTTAATGTCTTTCCCCTGTCTTTCCATATGTATGCTTCTATGGTAGCCTCCACAGTTTATTGATGTAACACCTCCAGGTTCTTTCAAGACCTGGGAAGTGTTCTTCAATCCACTTTTTTTTTTTTGCTTCTCATAGGACAGTGCTTATGTATTAGTTGTTCAGAGCGTGTTTGGACTGGTCCAGTGGGTGCTTCCTGCTTAGTTTAAACTGCATCATGAATTTGCTAGTATTCCGTGCCTGCTTATGTGCGTTTAAGACAGTTTAAAGTGATGTGCACATGGAATTATGTTGTTTTTGATGAACTTAGTGGTGCTAAGGACCATGAAACCTATTGATCTTGCTGTTAGGATAACTATCAGAAAAGGATCTCCTTTTTTGCAGTATAACCATTACAGCATGACTTGCACTTTATTTATTTTTAAAATGCAGCCGATCGTAATTTCTGTCCTGTCTCAGGTCTCAGTGAATCACTCTCTCCTAGAACCCCTTACCCTAGAGTGAGGATGTAGACCTTGTGTCTCCACCAACAAGCCAAGAACAACTATAGCAGGCATTTGTCAGCCTGAAAAAAAATGGCTGATTTTAATTGTTTTACATTTTTTTGCTTCTTTTAAGTCTTATTTATAAAATACAGTATCAGTTTTTCTTTATTAAATGATATTTTGATTTGTTTTAAGCAATTTTTTGTCCAGATCCACCAAAAATTGTCAATGGAGATATTCGAGAGGAAAGTGACACTTATGCATATAGACATGTTGTCACCTATAAATGTGCCAGAGGTTTCATCCTGGTTGGAAAGAGTTCCATTTATTGTGCTGTGAACAATGAACAAGGAGAATGGAGTGACCCGCCACCTCAGTGCATAGGTAATCTGTCGTATTCCTCTTTATGAACACACATTCTCATTTAGTGTATATTTATGCACACTTACTGTTTGGATGGTTTTTAAGAAAAGTAAAATCAAATTAACACACCAATCAAATGAAAAGATTTCCTGGTAAAAGATAGCAATGTAAGCTGGCCAGAGGTCGCCTTTAAGGCAAAGGCAGGTGGATCTCTGATTTTGAGGCTAGCCTGGTCTTCGGACCAAGTGCCAGGGTAGCTAGGTCTACACAGAGAAACTTGTCTCAAAAAAAAAAAAAAGAAAAAAGAAAAAGGAAAAAAGATAGCAATGTACCTTCCCTTGAAATGAATATCAGAATTCAACACCATGTACTGTCTGAGACAGACTTGTAACTCATTAATTTTTATCAGCTGCCCTGGGCAGCAGGCTGCTCAGATGGCCTTGACTCTTTCACTGTCTTCTTATGTGTCATGTGGAACTTTGGGGTAACCACCTACAATAAAGGGTTAGTCACTCACCTTGGTGCTGCTGTGCTCCCAACAGCTAAGACCAGGAGCCAAGCTGACTCTACCACCATGCCCAGGAAGACCAAGGATGCATGGAAGGCTCTAGCAGACCAATAGGATAGCTACAGAAAGTCAGAGTGAGGCCCCAGTGCCCTGAGATATTAGTGACACGGCTCATGTTAGACCTGTGCTTTGCTGTTTTGGTCACAGCAAATGATGCTGAAACAGAATCTGAGTGCAGATACTGGCTGGTACTCACTCAGAACTTTGTGTGTAGAAAACTGAATTCTTTTCCATGTACCAAGAAGGGTCATGACTTTGAACAATCAACACCGAACCCTTAGACACATTACCATAAAGGGTGTTTGCTTTGGATGACCACCGGCTTCTGGTCTCTTGTTTAGTAAATTAATATTAGTACCCCAAAAAGTTGAATGGACAGAAAGAAAAAAAAACAGACTAATCTATAGTCATTGTTGGAGAATTCCACATACCTATTCCTATAGCTAAAAGAAAAGGGGTGGGGGAGAAAAAGAGGAAAAGATCACTAAGAATGGAGGAGAGTGAGCAACAGTGGTTAAGGTTAAACAGGTTTGCATATAGGAATTTGAACCCCATCATGGCAGATGATCAGTCCTTTTCAAGCAACATTTACCCAAACTGACCATCTGCGGGCCTTCAGCTGTGGCGGCGCCATTACTCACAGAAGTCTTTCTGACCACAGTGGAATTAAATTAGGCATCGATAACCAGACAGTAGTCAGAAAATTTAAACTCATTGGGAGTATATAAATCCTTTGGATTTAAAATAAGAATTTAGTGAAACAAAGAATAATTTATATGTATATATGAGGGCCTTAAAATGAATAGACTCTGTAGCAACATCACTTACTCCAATCACACTGCCATTGTTTGGCTGCGTGGGCAGGAATTTTGAGTTGTCTCTTATAAGCAGTCTGTGACATAGATTTTTTTAAAAATAAAAGCATGGAAAAATACATACACCATCTGAACTCTTAGAGCCCTGTGTCTGGTGGGCAGGGCAGCACCTCATGGCAGATATAACCTGCTGCTTCAGGTTCAGGCTGTGTGAATAGTAACTTACCTAAACCGCTCTCCACAGGGATGGTGTGCAAGCTACATTGGGGTTTTTGTTTACGATGTTTGTTAGAGTAGGGTCCTCTGATGTTTCAGAGAGAATATATGAAGTATATTGATCTAATCAGCTCGCCATGTTTGTATCCTCACTTTTTTTTTTTTTGAATGACAACAACAAATCTTAGAGGGGTCAAAGAGTTTGCTGAGGTTCGTCCCTACTTAGTGCTGCCTGAAAGGGGGCTTGTAAAAGTACCCCAAAGACAACCAGCAAGGAATTAGTCTACAAATTCACTAACACATTCTGAAGATTACTCTTGTCATTGTTTTTATAGAAAAACATTCTTTGGTTTTGGTGTGAGTAGAGGAAGATAATTTTGAGGAGAAAATTGAGAGATGTGTCACACAATGAGATCTTTCTCCAACTTTGTTTTTTTCTTTAACACAGAAAAAAAGCTTAAAAACTGCAATATTGTATTGGTATAAATCTTTTTATGCAATATTTATATAATAGCAAGAAAAATGATGTAGCTTCTACTTTCATCTCTTACATATATGGTTTTTATGTAGTTTTATAAAATCTGGGATCCACTAATGAGAGAAAACATGCAATATTCATCTTTCAGAGATGGACTTACTTTACCTAATATAATGGCTTTCAGTTGTCTCATGAAAAGTGAGACTGGGGAATATTTTTGGTGAGTATTGTCTAAGCACGTGTCATATTTGTTAGGATGTATTTGTATGAAATTCATTGCTATGTGCAGTTAATGTGCACTATTAAAAATATGGCAACATTGTGAGGGAAGTAATAAAGACTGGTTTCCTAAGAATCCTGTCTAGAGGTTTGTGGTACAGAAAGAGAATAGTCATTGTGCAAGTCATGGCTAGGAAAGTTTTACTTGGTCAGCAAGATTTGGCTATTTTTTTAACTTAACATTGTTTTCTTTACAGAGAAATCCAAGATCCCAACATCTATGAAACCAACAACAGTTAATGTTCCAAGTACAAGAGTTCCATTAACGCCTCAGAAACCTACCACAGATAAGGTTCCAGGTACAAGAGTCCCACCAATGTCTCAGAAACCCACCACAGTTAATGTTCCAGGGACAGGAGTTCTACCAATGTCTCAGAAACCCACCACAGTTAATGTTCCAGGGACAAGAGTTCCACCAGCATCTCAGAAACCCACCACAGTTAATGTTCCAGGAACAGGAGTCCCACCAGTGTCTCAGAATCCCACCACAGTTAATGTTCCAGGGACAAGAATGCCACTCAAACCTCAAAAACCTACCACAGTTAATGTTTTAGGCACCAGTGTTCTACCAATGTCTCAGAAACCCTCCTCAGTTAATGTTCTAGGCACAGGAGCCACACCAAAACCTCAAAAACCTACCAAAGCAAATATACCATCTACAGTAGTCCCACCAACGCCTCAGAAACCCAACACAGCAAATGTTGTAGTCACCGAAGACCCACCAACACCTCAGAAACCTACCACAGCAAATGTTATAGCTACAGAAATCGTTTCAACCTCACAAAAACCCAATACAGTAAATGTTCTAGCTACAGAAGACCCACCGACACCTCAGAAACCCAGCACAGCAAATGTTCTAGCCACAGAAGACCCACTGACACCTCAGAAACCCAATACAGTAAATGTTCTAGCTACAGAAATCTCTTCAACCCCCCCAAAATCCAATACAGTAAATGTCCTAGCTACAGAAGACCCACCAACACCTCAGAAAACAAACACAGCAAATGTCCCAGCTACAGAAATCCCATCAACGCCTCAGAAAACTCATACAGCAGCTGTCCCAGCTGCAGACGTCTCACCAACTCCACAGAAATCCATTACAGCAAAAAGTTCAACCACAAAAACAACATCTCAGATATCCCACATACCAAATACTGTATCTGCAAAAAGTCCACCAATAACTCAGACTCCTACCACAGTTAACTCTACCACTGTACAGACTGCCCAAACAACCCAGAGATTTGCCACAGCAAAATCTTCATTTACACAGAGTCTACCAGCAACACAAAGGCCCACATTTCATACCAAGGCTCTCCAGATTGTTACCCAAAGATTCACTTCTGCTCATATTACAGCAACTCAGCATGTACCTGCTACCAAGACAACCACACATCATCCAACAAGAACATCTAAAGAGAAAGGGTCTACCTCAGGTTAGTTGATTTTGTTCATGTTTCGTGTGTGCATGTCTGATGTTTTATGATGGAAATTTAAAGACTGCAGGGTCCAACAGTCTCCAGCTAATTGTGGTTACAATGTTCCACAGTCATGCTTTACCTGTACAATATAACAGATATGCTGATATGGTAATTTTGAGTTTTGTTAGAACCTGTGGAAAGGGACTTCAGTTTCTGATAGCTTTTGTTAAGACTTTATGGTCTTGTTTTTGGGATAGTCTCATTATGTAGACCAGGATGATCTTGAACTTTTGATACCAACTGCCTCTGCTTCCCAAATGCTGGGATTATAGGCTTGTGCCTCCATACTTGGTTTGATCGTTTTTTGATGATAGATTATATCATGGTTTATTTTCTATTTAAGGTTTTCAAACTTGTTTTGTGTCATGAAGTCATGTAACAATATATGTAAATATTTGCTTTAGTGTTCTAGAATTGTCAAGACTTATATCGACACTGGCAACTGTCCAACAGATTCAAATACTAGTGTTGACGCTGCTGAAGTAAATGATATATAATTGTGTTTCATATATACGTATATATGTATGCATATATAGATAATTAGTTTTTTAACTTATGAAAGTATGAATAGCTGGTTAATATATACATATATTTAAGTTGTTAGCAAATTAATGAAAAGTTAAAATGTTTAGTTTTATAATTGTGCTCCTTTCTTCTTTTATTTTTTTAGATGGTGGCCATCTTCTATATGGTAAGTTTGACTCACGGGGAGTTAAAAGAAATTGCCATCACTGTGGGAACCATAATCGGTATTTCTGGAAGAGAATTTTATCTTTTAACTGTCTCAGGAAGACTATAAAAATGTGTTTCTGGGCACCTAAGGGAAGACGGGTGAACGCATTTTACCAGCGTGTTTGGTGGACGCCGTTAGGCATCCGGTGTGCTCCTTTTTGTTCCCAGCAGTGTTCTTGTTCTAAGGTAGTCTTAGGACATCTTCAGGTCATTTGGCCAGTCAGTGGGGAGGCACTGAGTGCCCGCTGTGTCACTATGGTGTCTTAGGGACAGAAGAAGCACAAAAACAGCTGTCAGTACAGTTTCTATATGAAGTTATAGTTATAAAACTATAATTAACCAACTCTTTGACCAGTTTTAGGTCTCTGTTACAGCCCAAATGTGACAGTGTCCCACTCTCGATTATATCTTTCCTCCATCTCTAATAATAGTTTTAAGCAAAGTTCTCTTAAGATATAGTCTCTTTCTGGGTGGTGGTGGTAGTGGTGGTGGCACCAGCAGTGGACACCCTTAATCCCAGCGCTTGGGAGGCAGAGGCAGGCAGATCTCTCAGTTCGAGGCCAGCCTGGTCTACAGAGCGAGTTCCAGGACAACCAGGGCTACACAGAGAAACCCTGTCTCCAAAACCAAAAACAGACAGACAAGCAAACAAAAAACCCTCAAAAAACCGAATGTGTATACTCTTAATGCTTACATAGTCGATGAGGGTAAAAACATCTGCATTGCAATTTCTCTAGCAATTGCTCAGGCTTTTTCTTATTTACAGTATTGTTTACTGTTACTTATTAATAAGATCAACAAACCCCTGAAGAATGGTAGGAGCAATTAAGTAGCAAAATAGCAAATTAGTATACTGAAGTAATGTGCAATTGAAAACACCCTTTTATGAAAAGTTGTTTATTTTAAAAGTATGTACTTAACGAGTGATGTCCCTATTTCATACATGAATGTATCAGCTAAAGGACACGAACCTGAAAATGGAGATTTAGTTTCTGTTGTTACTTTGCTAGTGATTGTCATACTTAGTTTATGTTTAAGCTATTTATCTAGAAATACCTCAGCAGGTGGAATTACTTCTGTTCATTTTATATTTTAAATAGAAATAAATATATTCTAAGCTAACAAAAAATCTTCTGATTTAATGATTTATAGGAGTAATGAGTTTAACACCCGAGTTTCTGTTACTTAGTGATATTCAGTGGAGATCTGAAATGCTTACTACCTAGTATTTTTAAATTTAATATTTTTATAGTGCAATTCAGGCCTTGTACATATCAGACACAAGCTCTACTGATGAATTCCACCCCTCTTTTCTTGTTTACATTTGAAATTCTTTAAGTATGTGCACTTTTCCAGGAAACATCTTTTTAACGTATGCTGTAATTTACCAGTGTTCTGACAACCCATTCCTGCAGTCAGACATATGGCAAATTTCTTCTGTGACTCAGGCTACGATCTCACTTTAAAGATGGGACCCGTATTGCAGAGAAAATGTTTATTCATTCATTCTTTTGTTTTACAGACAACTGGGAGTGTTTTTTAATTTAATTTTTTAGTCAGTGCACATAGAAGTGAGTGTCCCCATGAAATTTTATGGGTCTGTATCATTGCACTTTGATCTTAGGCCCTGGGAAAATACTTTTGTTGATTATATGGTAATATACTAGAAATTTCCGATTTTCCCACTTAATTGCTCTAAGTGAGTATAAAAATTATCAGATCTTCTTAATTTGCCTTGTAAATGCTACTGGTATGAATTTGGAAGGTTCTGACTCTGGCTATGTGTCAGGGTCAGTCCCTGTCTCCTCTGCTCTGTGTCAGGGTCAGATCCTGCCTCCATCTCTGCTAAGGTCTGTTCAAGCATTTTTTCCTGATTTATCACCCACATGAAGTATTAATTCATCCATACACTGTAAATCAGTTTATTCTCTTTCTGTATGCCTGTACTTTTTACATATATAAAAATAATTTTTTTTCCTTCCTGGGATAGCTCCCTATTGGTACGATGAGGTCAACATAGTTTTATTGTTTTTAAAGTCAATATCATCTAGAAGAAAAAGAAAAAAAGAACTTGTGTTTAGGAATTGGTCAAACTTTGGTTTCAATCTGGCTTTTTTATTTAGTAAATATCAACCCAACAATGAAGTTAGGGAGACAGATTCCGGGTAAGCCTATAAGTGATAACGGATGTAAACAACCCTTTAGTGACAGAGATAAGAGATGAATACATGGACATTAGGAAGTCACAGTATGGAGTCACCATTCTTTTCTTAGATAGATTTGTGCAAATTTCATCAATCACTCTGGCTACATGGAAGATAAATGTGCACCATTTTTTATTCAGGTAATGTTTGTGTGTTTGCTGTGTGGCAAGTGCCACTGTATTTGAAGTTTTTACATGTAATTACAAAAAATTCAACAATATTGGAATATAGCATATATACTCTTTTTTTAAATCTGGGAGAAATGTTTTTACAGTGGATTTTGATTTATAATTACTCCCACTTTCCCCATCCAGTCCCCTCACCAACTCCCCTAGTGTATTATCCTCTCCCAACTTGATGCTCTCTCCTTTTTTTTTCTTTATTTACTAAGTTTCAGAGTTCAATAGGCAGATGCATGTAGGCCTCTCTGCTGGAACATGGTTCACTTACTAGTGGCCACACCCACAAAGAAAAAGAGACTCTCCATTGACAAATATAGTTTACAGGACTTGCAACTTGTCTAGAGTTTCAAAGCAAAGTAGGAAGGAAGTAGAGGCCAGTGACTAGGCACTTTAAAGGGTAGACTCTCATCTTATTGATCAGACAAGAGGCTGCACAACTCAACTTAGACAAAGGACATGAATTCCTATATAATTGCTAAAATCATGTGTTGATAAATCAAGATTGATGGTTCAACTGAACTAATATTAAAGTTAGAAAATAGTGAGACACACATGTGTACTTATTAACATTATCCTGAATATGGAATGCTCTACACTTTAGCTCAAACCTGAATGTGCCTGCAGTAGTCTTGAATCTCCTGTCAATGTCTGAATGAAAGATGCTGGTCTGTTAACTGTCACCTACCTCAGGTTCATTATAGAGTGAGGACAGCTATCTGCCTGTAATTCAGAGTTTAAAAGTCAGGCAGTAGCTTAAGGTTCCTTATGAGCCTTCATTTAGAATTCTAATTTTAGCTTTTTCCTATCACATTCTTTGTCTAGCCACCTGTCTCTTTTTAGTGTAATTTCACATGTCTCCAGACTTTTTCAGTTTTTGTTACGTATGATTACGAGCAAGAATCAAATCTGGAGTCTCAGTTTTTCATGATGGATCACGTTTTGTGTTGCGAGATACACAAGCCAGAGGTTTTGCAAAGATGGGGCAAGCCCACAGAGGGTGTGACAAGCACCATTTAAGGAACATCGGTTGGCAGAAACGTGTCAGACTTGATTTTAGCCATGGAAGTGACGGTCTATATGCTAATCAGCACCTCACCGGATATGCAGTTTTTGAATAATTATACATATTTTAAATATTAAATAATAAGCACGCATATCATTATTATGTGTGTGGGTTTGTGCACATGAATGCAGAAGTGTTGGATCCACTAGAGCTGTAGTGAACCACTGTGGCTGCGGGGGACTGAATTTAGGTTCTCTTACAAGAAGAGCGCATTCTCGCAATTGCGGAGCCATCTCTCCAGCATAGCTAATATTTTAATTCAAACCATAAAATTGTGTCCTGAGCTTGGGCTGAAAGTAAGGTTTTTGTTGTTGTGGTAGTGCACAACAAATACAATGATAACAGTGTTGGTTATTTTAGGGGATCTTAATTTTCCCAACTACAAAAAATATTTCATTCAATGAAATTTGATAACTGTTTGCCAGGTACCTCCTATTTGCCCAGCACTGTGTTTATTTAGTGAGGGTGATCAAATGAGATAAAAATCTCTACAGTTTTGAACATTGCAGAAACGCAATTCTAACAGGATCTCCTTGTATTGAAGAACACTATTTTCTAAAGTTATATAATTTTCCTTGGATCTCTTCAATTTTATGATTAGGAACATTTGGATTATTATTATAATTTCATACATAATTATATACTTTCCTTTATCCTAAGTTGTGTAAATCATAAATTGGCAGTTACTCACCTTTGAGTTTGTTTTCTATTGATTGCCAAGTGGATTGGAGATCATAAACCCTTGCGTTTATGTCTTGAAGTTTTATTTGTAACTTGAGAGTTATACTTTTATTAGTGTCTTGGGAGCATGTGTAGATTTTGTGTTTTATATTCATATGCTTTGCTGTGGTTTTCTGTTAAAATTTCAACATCCACAAACTTTCTCAAGAGCTAAATACACAACTTGACTCATGCTCTAGAAATAGCCTTTTATTTCTGTCAACCTGACATTCAGGGTCATGTTTGTATTTTCTATCCTTATTTTTTCTTCCTTCAAATTCTAAATTAGACGTTGAAGTGATGAGAAGAACGAGAATTTATGAGATCAAGGGAAACTCAAAACTTTTGAGTGATTCCGATTAAATTGTCTTTCTGAGCTAACAGTACAGTGCTGGGGGACCAGTTAAAGACACAGTAGGTCAAATTCTGTAAAGGTCCTGTTGTGGGAATACGTGATTCTTAAGTTGTGCACACAAGCACACTTGTGTAGTGTCTGTCTTTTAGTCATCAGAAGGGTCATCTATCATTTCCCTTGCACTACAAATCAAACAAGTGGAGTCCAGGGACAGTAGAGAGTGGGGTTAAAAAGGAAAGGAACAATAAGACGGTGAAAGGAGAGAGGGGGTAGACCATTTTCCCATCACATGCACTGAAGGCTAGCAAACAGCAGCAAACTGAGCTTTGAAAGTAGTGGGTTGCTAATCAAGTTCTGATTGCTGTCTTCCACCTCCAAAGGGCTCTTGTAGCCCTAAACTAGAGTTCCATTTACCTACATGAAATAGGTCAGAGT